TTAGATTCCACATGTAAGTGATATAATTCAGAGAATTTGCCTTTCTCTGTCTGACTTATTTCACTTAGCATACTACCCTCTATGTCCACTCATATTGTCGCCACTGGCAAGATTTCCTTCTTTTTCATTGCTGAATAATATTCCTGTGTGTGTGTGTGTGTATCATATCTTCTTTATCCATTTACCTATTGATGGACATCTAGGTTGCTTCCATATCTTGGCTTTTACTAGTAATGCTGCAATGAACATAGGGGTGCATGTATCTCTTCAAGTTAGTGCGTTTCCTTTGGATAAACACCCAGAAGTGGAAAAACTGGATCGTATGGCAGTTCTATTTTTAATGTTTTGAGGAATCTCCATACTGTTTTCCATGCTGGCTGAATTAATTTACAGTCCCACCAAGAGTGCACGAGAGTTTTCTTTTCTCCACAGCCTCACCAGCATTTCTTATTTGTTAATTTATTAATGAGTAATTCTGACAGGTGTGAGGTGATAGTTCATTGTGGTTTTAATTTGCCTTTGCCTTATGGTTAGTGGTGTTGAGCATCTTTTTGTGTATCTGTTGGCATTTGTATGTCCTCTTTGGAGGAATGTCTATTCAGATCCTCTGCCCATTTTTTAATTGGATTGTTTGTTTTTTTGGTGTTAAGTTGTATGATTGTGTATTTTGAATATTAATCCCTTATTGGATATATAATTTGCTAAGATCTCCCATTTAGTAGGTTGTGTTTTCAGTGTGTATATATAATACATATGATTTAATGTATATAATATATATTAGCTCATTGATCGATAATTGGTTAGAAAACAAAGTGAAATCACTTTTAACTGTTTGCCTTCCCATTCATCTACTGGTAAGTAATTCTTAACCTGTAGTCTTCTCTATACATTGGCAGCTTTTTTTTTTGCTTTTTTTTTCTGTACAACAAATCATACATAATTGTGAGGAAGATTTGTTTCTATTCAGGCATGAAACACAATTACATTAAATATTTGTGGTGAGAACTTTGCATGTGATTATGATTTTAAAACCCAGAGAAATATTGGAATCCAATGAAAGCAGTGTTTAAAGGTGGTTTTGATTTTTGTTATTGTGGTTACTGTTTATTTTGGGATTTGTTTGTTTGGTTTTTATAAACTAGAAGAAAGTTTCCTTGGAAATTCATTTCATCAAGATGGGACATAAAAAAGATTACTATTTAAACTTTAATTTGTCAAATTTCTTAGTAGGATAAAAGCAGGTTTGTTATGGCCTAAGAAATGGTTGGCTTCTGTTTCTGCTTTGGCTTAAGTTAGTATTATGTTCAGGAGGATTTATAAATCTAAGTGTACTGATACCTTATCTATGCTCTGATGCCTTCTTACTGCAGAGAAGAAATTATGGCATACAGTGTAACAGTTGGTATCTTTGTGGCTTGCACTTGCATCTCTAATGCCAGGCAGGGAATTTGATACAATATTTCCACATCAAATAAGCTATTACCAATCTGCATTTTTAAAGCTTTGTTGTAAAAACTGTTTCTGTGAAGGCACATGCTGGCTGTCTTATAGACATAGTTTAATAATGTTGATCTCAAATTCTTGAATCTTTATTCTGTTGTTGTCACTTATTATATACCGATTTTCTAAAGATTATTTAGTTCAAGATTTCATTGAATCTTTTAATGTTTTCATTTATTCAATTACAACTAGACCTGGGTTTTGTTTTCAAAATTGTGAGGGCATTTAGCATTAGCATTGACATGTGATGTAGCTAAGATAAAAGATATTGCAGACCCTTCCACCACATCCTCACCCCCACCACCCCTCCCAGAAGACTAGCGAGAAGATAGGGATTTCTCTTCTGTATCCTAATCTAATGTGCCTTTTTAAAACACTGACTGTGAACAAAATTTATTTAAAACACTCTAGGATTATTATAATACATTTTTATTTTTAGATAAACCATATTCCTAAGTTTTCACATATTAATTTTATTTGTCCTACAGACGAACAAAATGAAATCGATAGTCTTGCTAGTGTTGCTCTGATTGTCAAAACACTGAGCTCTTCTCGGGGAACTGAAGCAGTGTTCTCATCTTCATTCTGGCAACTTTGTAGAGATTATGAATCTGATCTGTATGCCTTTCTTTAGAATTAGGGACACTGTTTCAGATCAAATGAATTATTTGTAATAAACTGGGAATTTATAATTGCATCATAGAAGAATATCAAGGTCTGCAGTCTTTTGTTGCTCCATCAGTCAAAATACTTAGAGCTGTGTTACCAGGAAGCATTACATGAGATGCCAAGGGAGATGTCAAGCTGGTTACTTGAACTCAAGAAACTTACAACTTAGCCAGGTAGAAATAACAGTATAAGAAATAAGTGGCAGTTTCAATATACTAGATGCCAAGTGTACATGATTGTCAAATAAAGGTTGTTAATGGGAATATTCAAAAAAGATCATTAATGAGCTAGAAGAAACTAGAGGACTTCTCTAGAAGAAAGCCTTGACCAGTTTTTGAGCTGACCAGAGATGGTTAGAATTGTGATAGGGACATTCCAGGTGGGGACAGCAAGGTGTAAGTAAATGCTTCAGAAGTAGTTGAAAATAGATGCGGATCACGGTGATAAAAGCACATCAGT